CAGGTGGCTTTTCTGCTTAAAGCAGTACTAGAACTCACCATCACCTGATTGGCCCAGAATAACTCTTTTGGCCCAAAGTGGTACTGGTGTTTAGCCCAAAGCCATCCATCCAGCTTTCCTGACTAAGGGGGGACTAGAACTCACAGTCTCCCAGTTTCTAGCCTAGTTTCTAGCTATAACCACTACAGCAAACTGGTTCTCTTTCTTGCCGTCTGCTTTCCGCTGCTCAGCCGCCCCCTTCAATACCCTCCTCAAAATGTGCCAGCCAAATCCCAGGGACCCACCATGGCGAGGTCCACTCCGTCCACCCTCCAGGCAGCGCCCTTTGCCGTTCTCTTCCCGGAAGCTGCACCAGCCACACCGAGGCTGCTGGATGCAGAGAGCACACTGCTGGAAACGGGAACAGGATGGCGCGCAACTCTCTGACCCGCTCAGCACCCGGCCACACATCCCGGCTGCGCAGCGCATCGGTAGGTAAGTTGGACTCATACACTGCAGAGAGAGAGGGAAAAAATACACCACAGTTAAAAAGTCTCCAAATCTGGCCATGGTAAGACTGATGGACTTCAACTCCCAGAATTCCCCAGCCAGCAAAACCTGGGAATTCTGGGAGTTGAAGTCCACCAATCTTATGGTGGCCAAATTTGGAAACACCTGCATTAGTGTCATGCTCCTGTCAGAGTCTGAATCCGAGGAGGAAGACAAACAGCTGACAGGGAGTGGGAGTGTGGTTCCGTTGGCTGTGGAGGAAACTGGGAAAAGGGCAAAGTGAGGCTGGGCAGAGCAGGGAAGAGGTAGAACAAGGGAGAGGGAGTTCAGAGGAAGACCCAGGCCCACCCCCTCTTCATCCTAGGGCACACAAGGAGGAACAGCGAAGGGAGCAACGTGGATTGTGTGGCTTACGGGGGAGGAAAGGGCCCTGATTCCCTTCATTAGCTACAGCTGGGAAGAGAATTTAAAAGAGATGCAAGCTGAGAGCGGCATCTGCTGGGAACAAATGTGAGTTTATCTTATGATGACTTTGGTTATCTGCCTCACTGGCATCCTCCCAACCGTGTTGAATTACTGCCGTGCCTTCATGTCTGGAATTCCTTCTCCTGCCCTGTTGGACTAATGACCTCATCTTGCCTTGATTGGACTTGCAGTTACAGTTTTTGTTGACCACGTTTTGGACTTGATTCTCTGCAGCCAAAGGCTGTTCCTGGGAGAGTTTTTCTCCAGCTCAGAAGGTAACCAGGACATTGGGGGCAAAGTTGGAGCTAATAAAGGGACTCTTATTGATTATCTGACTGTGTTGCCTATGTGCCACAGCCCTTTGGGTCCTCACCATTAGAGTCTCCCCGTCAGAATCGACGTACGCTGACTGCCCCAAATAATTTACCTGCTGCAGGCTGATGCTCCAGACACACTGCTGCCAACCCCCATCTGCCCCCTTGGAGTTGAGGCAGTCTCCACATGTGCTGTGGTTGTGGCAGGGTGTGGGGCAGGCCAGCGGGGGAGAGGACTCCACGGGCATCGGGGAGACGTTGAGGAGCGAGTGGCTGAAGCACGTCCAGTCGTAGGTGGGCTGTACGCTGAGGATGCGGCGGGTCTCCCCTAAGCATTGGGAGGAGGAGAAGGGTGAAGATTAGGAGCTTTCAAGGCCAGGATCGTTCCCCTTCGTTGCCCAATCGATATCTACTAGGAGACAAGCATGGTGGTCCACCATATTCAGTCTCCTCCTTCAGCAGGAGGAGACTGAGAATGGAAGAAGAGGAAGACTCAGTTTGGGAGGAATGGATGTGTCTTCTCCATAAACTTCTCAAAGGAACAGAAGTTCATGAGAACTTGGGGAGGTGGACATCCAGAGGGCTGATTTCTAGATGCTCTCCAGGAACCAAAGCTCCTTGGACAGAGTCTATCCTGGTCTTCCAAGCCATGCCACCCTACACCAACTCTGTGGTTCATTTGACAGTCATTGGCCACATCTTCCCCAATGATCAGGGACGCAGTGGCTCGGTGGCTAAGACGCTGAGCTTGTTGATCAGAAAGCTCGGCAGTTCGAATCCCTAGCGCTGCATAACGGAGTGAGCTCCCGTTACTTGTCCCAGCTTCTACCAACCTATAGCAGTTCGAAAGCAAGCAGAACAATAGGGACCACTTTGGTGGGAAGGGAACAGCGTTCCGTGCGCCTTCGAAGGCGTTGAGTCATGCCGGTCACATGACCACGGAGGCGTCTTTGACAGCGCTGGCTCTTCGGCTTTGTAACGGAGATGAGCACCAGCGCCCCCTAGAGCCGGAAACGACTAGCACGGATGTGCAAGGGGAACCTTTGCCTTTACCCCAATGATCAAAGTTGACACCAGCCAGAGCATAGAAAAAGTCAGAGAAGTACAGGTAATCCTCGACTTATGGCCACAATTGGGCCCAAAATTTCAGCTGCTAAGTGAGACATTGGTTCAGTTTTGGCCCGTTTTGCGACCTCTCTTGCCACAGTTGAGCGAAGCCCTTGTTCGTTTTGTCGTTTAATGACCCCCATTGTCCCTTGCAGGGTGGAGTTTGAGCAGCTGAACGGAGCTGAGTGTTTACTGGCTGGACGCCCTTCCTGTTGCCAATGTGGAGTTCGCAGCAGATATAATCTCATTGTAATTAAGTGAAGCGCTGCCACTGTTAAATCAGTCACACGGTTGTTAAGTGAATGTGACTTTGCTTTGCCAGAATGTCGCAAAAGAGGATCAAGAACATTGCAACCGTCCTAAAGATGGATCAGTTGCCGAGCATCTAAATTTTGGTCAAATCGCCATGGGGGTCATTTGTACAAGTCGTTAAGTGTGAAAAATGGCCATGAAGTCACTTTTTCAGTGCCGTTGTTAACTTCGGTCACCGAAGGAACTATTATAAGTCCAGGATTACCTGTAGCACAAGAATGGACGATGTGGAGAGATCAAAGCCTCACTTTGACGTCTCCCTTTAAAAATCGCCGCTTATTCAATTTTGTCAAAAATCTTACAGATTTCTTCTTATACTTAGAGTGTCCTTTCAAGTCTCAAAATATTAGTAAAAAAAAAGATTCTCACCCAGCCGACACACTTTCTCTTTCAGTCTCTTCCTTTCCGGAGCTGTCCCAACTTCAGCAGCTTTGGGGCTGCCTCTCCGCCGCCGGCAAAAGGGACTTCTCCTGAATCAACCAGGGACTTTGCGATGTCCCTGGGATCCACAGGATGTACCCTTTGCTATCACCGTCTCTACGGGACGGTTTAGGTCCGTTTGGACTGGCCTGGGGCGAAGATATCGGCTGCAATCTTGGAGCTCGATTGCAGACCGTACCGTCGCGACGCCAGCTCCTCCCCTCTCATCATCAATCCTTGTTACCCCCAACGGTTGTTGTTCTTTTTGGGCATCTTCTTTCTCAGAGCTCTCTGCCCCTCACGCCTCACCAGGGGTCGCCTTCAAAAATTTTAGCAATGGCTTCTCTGCCTGGTTGCTGGGTGGGCGTGGCCATGGTGGGCGTGGCCTAGTCGCCCTCCTGCACCATGGCCAGATTTGGGAGTTCTCCAAACTGCACAGAAATCTTAGCTAGCGGCTCTCCCGAACCCCTGCGAACCCCGCACCAGCGCCACCCCTGCCTGCACTCATCTCGCCCCATGGCACCTGGGAAGGTTGCACAACCCAGCAAGGTTCAACCAAGCCTGGGGACTCAAGACTACCTACCAAGTGGGCTCTGGGCGGGCTTTGCACTTACCTGCATCCCAAATGGGCCATGTGGGGACTCCGGGGTGGGCGGGGTCAGCCAGGGAGTGGGATTTGGTGGGGGGGTTCTCTGAACTGCACAGAATCTTAGCTGGGGGGCTCTCCCGAACCCCTGTGAACCCCCCAGCAGCCCCACCCCTGCTCCTCGCCCTGCAGCCCTTCCCCCCCCCCCACTTCTCTCCTCCCTCGTCTCTCCCGCCCTCCCCCAATCCCAGGTCCAGTCCCTCACCGGTGCGCTTGAACTGCCTCGTCCACATGCACTTCCCCGACGCCGTGCACTTGGCGCAGTCGGAGGCCTCGCACGAGATCTCCGAGCAGTTGCTGGCCACGAAGATCTCCCGCTGGTTGATACGGCAGTCGTTCTCCGACGTGCAGCTGCCGGTGCTGCCGATGCACGCGCCCTCGGGGCAGTTGGTGCACCATTTGCACTGCGGCAAAGGCTGGGGGGAGCAGAGAGCAGTCACAAAACCTGGCGGCTGCAAATCCAGCCACGTGTTCTAATCGGGGGGGGGGGGGGGGGCTTCAAAAAAAATTTTTTTTTTTAGCAACGGGTTCTCTGCCCGGTTGCCGGGTGGGTGTGGCCATGGTGGGCATGGCCTAGTCGGTTTGCCAAAACTACCAAATGCTTTCCTGGCTTGGAAAAAATGATGATACGAGAACTGCATGCACGTAATTGGAGGTCCTTCATAAAGAAATCCTGCCTATGTACAATACATACACCTGTGTTTCTCAAAGGTGGCAAATTTAAGATGTATGGACTTCAACTCTCAGAATTCCCAGGAAGCATGTGTGGACTTCAACTCCCAGAGTTCCTAGGAAGCATATGGGGACTTCAACTCCCAGATTTCTCCAGCCAGCATGTGTGGACTTCAACTCCCAGAATTCCCAGCCAGCATGTGTGGAC